TGCTATCTTCACTGGGACAGGCATTGTGCTAAGGCATTTAGAAAACAGGTCTAATTTTCACAAAGGCTCTGTGAGAAAGGTATTTATTTATTAGCCTTATTTGACCAATGAGGAAATTTAGGCTCAGGAGGTCAAGTGATTTGCCCTAGCTAATGAAACTGGTAAGTGACAGAGGTAGGATTGGAAGCCACTCCTGTCTGATATCAGTCATCGTCATAACCATCTGATTATGGGACTGTCTACAACCTAGGACACTGAGCAGGAGGGGTCAACTCCTCCTGCCCCTCTCCCTCTCAAGTCAATACTACCCAGAGATTCACCTGTAGACCTGACCCCTGAGGTCTGAGGATTAATTTAACCTTGCTGAGGCTTAAAGTTTCCTCAGAAGTCACACCAGGACAATAAGTAAAGCTAACATTTATTAGGTACCCCCAGCTTTTTTAAAGCAGTACAGTCTCTCTTCAAATATTTATCCCCAAACCCCGGTTGTGGTTTCTGGGGAGAAGTTATCCTGTTCTCATCCTGCACCCACCCCAGGGAGGGACATTTGAGGCCCCTCCTCAGAACTCTAAGGCTTCTTGGAACACAATTTGAAAAAAACACAGGACTAGATCTCCCTCACTGGAAGTCCAGAGAGGCAGAACCCTGTAGTGGCAGATGTGGACGATATATATTCCTAGGTGTTCTAACTACTAGGTGCTGCCTTTCACCTTCCCAACCTCTCAACCCTTTTGCCAATACTTATCACATTCCCTACCACCAGGTACAAGGCTCTGGGTAGTAGAGAAGGTTCTCTTCAGGTCCTCTCTAGCCTTCTTAACAGGCTCCCCTGAGCTGGCTGCATAGCAACTGTCTCAGGACTAGGCTAGGAGACCAGGGCTCTAGTCCTGCTCTGCTGACTGCCTCCCTTTTCCCTCCCAGGGACAACAACGTCTGCAATAAAGTGACACAAAATAAGAACGAGCTCCAGGAGGCTCGGTGTCCCAAGGAGAAGCTGGAGTCCAAGAAATTAGAGTCCACAGAGGAGCCTAAGGAGATGAAGCCCAAGAAATCGAAGCCCAAGGTGGGGTCAGGTATGAAGGACAAGGCAAAGAAGTCACCTGAAGTGGTGCCCCAGCAAGAAGAGCAGGTGAAGCTGGAGGTTCCAAGGACATCAATGGGTCATGGCCTGATCATTTCCCCTCAGGCCCAGGGGAGCCAAGTATCCACTGGAGGCCCCCAGGTGGTCTTCCTGAAGACCTGCCACCTCAGAACTCCCATGGGCGACATGAAGCAGCAGGATGTAGCTGACCAGTGGATCTGGTTTGAGGGGCTGCCCACACGCGTCCACCTCCCAGGGCCCCGGGTGATGTGCAGATCCTCCACCCTGCGCTTGGTCAAGCGTTGCTGCACCCGCTACTGTTCTGCAACACTGGAGCTGCCTATGTGCCATCTATACAGAGCATGACAATGGACGCTGCCAGGCCAGGGTGAGATGCAGGCCCCAAGGTCAGAGGGCTCAGGATCCCAGGGTCTGGGGGGCTGTGGCTGGCAGTACTAGGAGGGACCAGCTTCATGCCCAGAGACGGAAGCCCAAACAGGGGGGAAGTCGTTGGTCCAGGCCACACAGCAGGGCAGTGGTTTGGCTGGGGCCTCTCAAGATCCAACTGGGGCTCTGGGGAAGGAGAAGCAACGGAAGCGTGGGTTCCCTGGTCCATCATCCCTTCCCTGGAGGCCTCAGCAAGGGTGGCAACTGTTATGGCTCAGAATCTCACAGTCAAAGGTCTAAGTAAGCATGTTTGTTGTTGTTCTTAGTTGTCATTGAGTCGATTCCTACTCATGGCGACCTCATGTGTATAGAGTAACAGGTTTAGTGATTTCTAAATGTGTGTGTGAAGGGGGTAGGGGAGGTAAGATGTGGGGGTCAAGTGCATGTGGGGGAGGAATCAAGTGTGTATGTGTGGGGGTCAAGTAGGGTCTGCCACATCCCATCCCCTCTTAGACCAAATCAACTGCCCATTTGTCTAATTTATGCATGCTTCAAGTAAGATTTACTCAAAACAAAAAGATCCTTAGGAAAAAAAAAAGGGAAGAAGAAGAAAATACTCCAGATACTCCAGCCCCCTCCATGGCAGAACTGAGGTCCAAAGAAACAAGGGGGTGATGGCCGGGGGCCAGCTGAAAGGCTTCCCAGTTCAGCAAAACCAGCCATTTTCAGCATACCACAGCCACCGTGGGCCCTGGTCCTTGTGCCCTCTTCCCGAACGGCAGCGCCCCCTGGAGGCAGTCTTCACACCTAACCCTGAGGTCTCTGCTCGCAGGTGGTGTGACCCTGGAAGGAAGCCAGAGGGGCAAGGAGAGGGCAGAAATCACGGAAATCATGCAATCAGCTGAACGAGAGGGATGGGCGGGAAAATTCACGAGTCTACAAATAAAATCTCCCATATGGCACTGAAGACTACTCCTGCTGGCGTTGCCCGTTTGTCTGGGGCTGGGAAGGATGGAGGGAAGAGCCCCTCGGGGGAAGTGGGGAGAGCGCGTGTGCGTCACCACTTTGGGATTCCCTCACTCCCACTCCCATGCCCGAGGGTTGGCCTAAAACTCA